TTCAGGATATACCACCTTATGAATATTAATCTACAAAATGAGTAATTTTAATAGTTTGGACAATCCTATTTGCATTACTGACACGGTAATAAGGCATGAAGAAAAAGAAGCAAAGAGAAAAAGCTTAGCATTCAAACTCTAGGTGTGATAGCAAGAAACAAAAATTACAGGCAACATAGTGCTTGAAAATGAATCTTGGTTGGCTGCCAAATCTATTTTTCAAAATGATGCCTAATTGCCTCAGGAAATACATTAATCAAAGGCTCCCAGAGGCCTAAGAACTGTTTGCTCCAATCCACCAAGGCAGAGTAGTGATAAAGACCTAAGTAATATAAGGAGCTACATATGTCCTTGAGATAAAATATTACATAAGAAATAGGAAGGGATTCCTAACTAAAAGCTCTTAAACAAATCCCTTGAGCAGCTTATTGACATCACTCTTGGGAGAGATCAAATAAGAAAAAAAATGGTACCCTGACCATGAAACCGGTAGTAGAGAAGTTAATGAATCGTGTTGCCCAAATCGAGATATAGAAGGTGGCATCAAGTGAAATATCTCTGTGGTGTGGCCCAGATCATGCGGAGAGCAGATCAGGCCGGCATGAAGAAATGATCAGTCTATGCAAGGGCTCTGGAGCACAGCACAACCTCAAACACCCAGGAAGGGTGTGCTGAAGAACTGATGAAGACTTGGATCACTTGATGTGTATGTAGGGCTTCCTCCTCCCGGCACATCAGCCTGGGGTCTTTGGATCCTGTCGGAGGCAGAGCTCGCAGCACTAACCAGACCAGTGCTGCAGGGAGGGGACCCCGGGCAGGTTTGCTGGAGGTGATAACAAGCCCTGCACCCAACATCTCACACCCCGCTCCCAGACACGTGTCCTCTGCTGTTTGCTTACACTTCTGCTAGCATGTGAGTGAAGCAGAAGGCACTCTTGCCTTACATGGTTTGCTCAGCAATCACTTTCATCCACAATACATCTCATAACCCTCCTTCTCCTGCATTACATAAGCTTTCTAGGACCGATGTGCAGTTGCTAAGCAGTAATTTTGCATGACTAAAAAAGAAATCCATGATTGCTAGGTTCACTAAATGTTTTTTCCCCTTATTGCAATATAATTATAGCTATAATAAAAACATTGCAGAACACTCATCGGCATGCAAAAGTTAGGTGAGGAACAGAGCAAGTATATCATACATGCCTTTTAGAAGCCTTTACTTCTTTCATTGCCATTGAGGAGGGAAGGACAGGAAAAGTTTGGTACTGTATAAAATCATAAATAACAGGTTTTTCCATAAACACAAGTTTGCTTTCTTGTTTCGGGAGGCAGCTTGCTTCCCTCATTGCAGAACACTTCTAAAGCCTCATCACAGGCTCCCTGTGTATGGCCTCAACACACGATGTTTTTCCCTCTGCTCTGCAGCCTGAAGTGGGGACAGTAACATCCCTCCTCCAGTGGGGAGCTAGAGACTGACGCAGCCCACATCCAGGGAAGGAGCACTGCACCCAGGCCAGGGACACAGGGAGCACGCATGCTGCTCTCCCAAGGGGTGTCCCGCACGCACACACAGCGGGCCCAACGCACCTTGCACGTCCCGGGCTGCTGCGCATTGCTATGGGTCCGCCGGGAGGAAAGCCTGGACCAAGGGCCTCTGTGCCCAGACTGCCTCCAGCTGCTGGGACATCTTGTCCACTGAGTTGCAGAGGCCTGGCCCAGATGATAAGAGGTCAAGTAACCCTGTGCTAGACCACTGGGCTAATTCACTGCTGGGATGTTTTCCTGAAATTGCCACAAGATTTCTTCCCCTTTTTCCTTTTCATCCTAAACCTCTTAATTATGCCCCCAAGCATTGTCCTAAATAGCTCCTCCCCCCAATGGTTCTGGTATTTAATATTTACTAGACATACATTTTAAAGTTATTGACTGCTTCCATAATTTTTTAATAATTTTGCCTTCCTTCATCCTTGCTGAAGACTTGCTTTCGCTCATGCTCTGTGCAACTTAACCTTGACTGCTACTGGCTCGTATTTCTTGCCAGTGCCCCTCATTTCTTCCTTAGAGTCTGAGGAAGAATTTTTTCTCAGTTTAATCCCTTCTTTCCCATCTTTTTGAATGTGGCCAACTGCCTTTTGATAAGATGTTGCCAGTGAGGTGGCTCCAGCATCTCTGCTCTGCCTCACATGGCGCTGTAGACGCTTATCCCACAGCACTGGGGACTGTAAGGTCAACTCCGGAACTGGAGATAACACGCATTCATCATGGAAATCAATTCCTTCGGAGAACAAATCACCTTAGTGATAACCTTTACTTCTTATAGACCTAGGTTATTTATTGTATTGTCATTTAATTAATACACATACTAAAAATACTAGTTTTCTGCATTTAATTAAAAATTTGAATAAATGAAACAAATTATGTAATTGCTTATATGGCCATGCAAAGTGCCTTCCTGGTTAGCAAAAAGAAGTATCACGTTCACTGCAAAGACAATATTTATTTCTGCACTACCTTCTTTAATGGTTACCACTCAAGGAAGATCAGCTTCATTAGGATAGTAACAAAAACAAGGTTAAAATGGAGGCTTTGCCTACACACTTAATGAAAAATCACAATTAAATGAAAGACATTTTTTAAAAGTCACTGGTTACAGGTTCCAGGGATTCAAAGTCAAGCGAGTACTTCATTGATCGTTGGGGTGATCCTCTCCACATTCCTGTCCCTAATGCAGCACATGACCTGTGTATTTGATCCTGAGAGACATGTGCTCTGCGGGGGGCAGTTTTGTCTTACGTAGGGTGAGCAGTGTGGTTAGCAGACACTGTCAGCTTTAATTACTTGAATACTGAGATTATTTCGTGTTAAACACATTCTGAAACTTTATCATCACTTGGCATACAGTTTCCTTCGTATCTTGTCAGAATGTGAGACTCGGGGAGAATAAAGAGTGCTCATTACAAACGGGACTCTTCTGCCTGACCCCTAAGCTCCTGTGCCTACCAGCTGCCTAACTGCTCACTGGGGAGCTCTCAGGGGAGGGGGCATGCAGACATTAAAGAAAAATTATGTTTCTTGAGCTGGCTTTTTCGGGGGGTTGGTTTTGGGTTTTTCTCCTTTTTTTCAGTTGGTCAGCAAACTGACAGCTCTTCTCTGAGCAGTGGGTCCCCAGTTAGGTTTTCTCCTTTCCTGCAGGAACTTCCCTGATTATAAACTCTTGTTAGACCCTGCTGGAAGGCAGGCATCTCCAGCAAGAGATTGGCACTTGGTAGTATCTAACAAATCTTGTTTGCCCGGCATGCATTGGAGAGATTGACTATCCCCAGAGCAAATCTAAGCTTGCCATTTTGGGTGTTTTTTCTCTGACTCTGATCCAGCTTTGCACCTTTCAGTGGCCCTCACTACTTCTAAATGTAGTTGAAAGGATCTGTAAAGTGAAGGCAGCAGACATTATATCAGCAGCATCCATCTGCTGCTGCACTGAGGCGGAGAAGCTGGATATTTCACACAAGAAGAAAACGTAATTATCCTAATTACTCCTATTTACTACATGCTTCCTGCTACACGCTTTAGAAGTAGGACTTCAACTACCTAATTCAGGTCTGCTTGCAGAGCAGTGGGGAACAGCAGATGCCTTTTGCTCAGGTAAGCTGAGAGCTCCTCTGGCTCACTGGGGCTGCCAAAGGCCACGGGGTGCCACCACCACAGCCAGAGCTGCGGAGAAGAGCCATGCCCTTCTCTGGCCGTGCCTGTATCAGCTACTGCTGGGTGCTTTGAGAAAACGCTTTTGCCACGGCCAAGAGCTGATTGCAGCGCTAAGACATTGCAAAGGGCCAGCCCAAGCCACTGCAAGGTGCTCTGGAAGGGAAGGCAGGAGTGATGGACGGTGTGAGGACTGGGCTACACAGGGCCAATAGCCAACACAGGAGCGAGGAAACACATCACATACTGTCAAGGCAGCAGGGGGAAATGCAGTACATTTAGGAGCTGGCTTGGAGCAAGGTAGCAGCAAACATATGCGGCTGCTGGAGAGTGCAAGGCAGATGTGAAACATATGGGCCATTGCTCTTGGGCTGGGGGGAGGGGGCAAGATTGTGGTCAAAGACAGAGTTTTCCAACTGTGTCAGTTCACTGGGATAAATACAGTGATAATGTGCACAAATTAATACAGGAGTTATAGCAAGTAACTTTTAGTACTACAGAAGATTAAAAAAAAATAAAACCACCAAACTTCAGATTCTCTCAAAACCTCCCCTGACTCTGCCTCTCCAGCAACCCCCCCAGCCCAGAGCAGCGCTCCCCACATGCTCACCAGTGTGCATCCCCAGCTCCACCCTGTCCTTCCTGGGATCCTTCATTCCCCCCTTCCAGGGGGGCTGTAGGAGAACTGCCACTCCCCTTCCCTCTCGTCTCCTCTCCACCCCTGGCCAGGCATGTAAGGAAAGAGGTGGCATACAGGGAGGCACCTTATTGCTGACAGGAAGGGAGCACAGCTGGTTGCAATTGCCAGGGGATTATTCCCCCTCCTCCTCTCGATGGTGTCTGCAGGGTAGGCCAAAGTGCTTGCACCAGAGTTGACCACTTCAAGTGCAAAACAAGTGTTCTGTGATGTATTTGTATTTGAAATTCAGTGGTCTATCCATCTCTTTTGAGCAGCTACCACTGTGTAATGGTAAACTGCAACTCTAGTTCGTATATAGCTAATTATAACTATATATATATAAAAAATACAAAGTAGTAGATGCCTTGACAATAGCTTTTTTGTTTGTTTAAGAGTGCTGAAGCATTCTTGAGAGACATCTTGGATAAGAGGAATTTGTGGGAACCTTAGCAAAGTGTCAGGCTCCCAAGTATCTAGATCAGAATGGTCTTGTCCAAACCCGTAAAACTCTAACTCACCTTTTTTAACTCAGAGGTTTTTCAGGATTAAAGTGCCAATGTAAAAAAGGAAACAAACAGTATATTTGAAACATTCTCATTAAGTAAAAATAAATAGCTTAATGTTAGAGTTCTAAAAGCAAAATTTAATAAATTAATATATGCATGCCAGATAAAAATACAAAATTACAATTGAAATAGCAATAATAATAAAGGAACACTGCTCAGCATTGCAGATTTCACTGCAACCACCATAAACATCATGGAGAATTACTTAAAAGTAACATTTAAAGTACACATTTTGTTTCTGTTAAAAACAAATTACTATAATGATGAAAAAAACGAAAGAAACCCAAGAAGAAATCGGCCCCGAAAGTGGCAGAGAATGATATAAATGTCAATAAACTGCCAAAGGCTCCATTTCACATGTCGGCCTTCTTTTTAGTATCAGAAACCAATTACATAGAACATAAAAGCAAATTCACAACAGGTTTACACGGAGAAACATGCTGAATTACAATCACAAACTATCCAGAACAAAGATGCTGCACCAGTTCAGTTGTTTTCTTCATGGAATGAGTCTCACCAGAACAGGGAGAACAGGGAGCAAATCATGCAATAGCTTTAGGCTTTTTGTTTTTTATTTTAACATGATAAACACCCAGGATTACTAGTACTGGAAAGTATGTGTTAACCTTTTTCAACATCAGCTGAATGGCACTACAGAAATGACAAAGAGTTCCTTCATTTTTATCCTGAATACATCAAAAGCTCTAGCAAATATGGAATTCAGCGACAAGAGCCATTAAATTACTTTAAAATATTCCTTCATCCATAGAACACTGTTGCTTCCTTTTTTATTACAAAACCCCCAAAATATTCAAAATAAAATGTCTTCATTTTTTATAAGCATCTCCACCACAAGTCTCTGATAACGGATGTCATTCAACGCAGCCATCGCATCCAGTTCTGGCGCTCTCATAAGAGTTGGTCCAAAAACTATGCCCAGATTCTCTGCACTCATGAGATTTTCCTTTTCATGGAGCGTTACTCTGTAAAAAAAGGACAGTGTATTTCACATTCCAAACTATGCCTGCATATGCTTGAAAACCAGGGAAACCTGACAGAAATGTTTGCCTTTCCCCAAAACCTAGGAGAGGCTGCCATTTCCAGCAGGATACATATGGAGGTGTCAGGTGAAACACAAGTTAGTGAGTGCAAATGCTGTGTGGGTTTATGGTGAGTCAGGTGTCTCTGTCCTACCATGCATACAGACCAGGTTTACCTGCAGGAGGGATTGGGATTCCATGGCGAGGAGGGGGATGAGGGGTGAATTCAGATAAATCAGAACAATTTTGCTTTCGCTCTTTACAGTGGCACCATTAAGAGGCTGTTCCTATGGGGAACAGACCGTGTCTGTTATTACGTTAGCAGTTTTATGGTCGCTAGAGATGTGGTATTGTGCCCACCTGGGTGGGATTCTGCCCAGGTTCCCCTGGTGGCATGGCTCCACGTGGCCACACTGCTCCCCTCCCGTGCACATGGTGGCAGCGGGCATGAAGCACATCACATGTGAATTCCCTGCCTAATTCCCTTAGCCTACAGGCTAACTGTGCTAAGCTGGATGCCTGGTTCCTCTTCAAGATAAATTATGTCCTGTGGCGTGTACTAAAAAAAAAAGTGAATCATCACTTTGGGGCGGCTTTGAAACCACCAGGCTCTCACTGTAACCTCATTTGCATGGCAGTCTGAGCAGGTCATTAAACGTATGCTCTGACAGGCCCACTTCCACCCTTCCCACTTCTGGGGTGTTTAGCAGCTGTGGAACAGCCTAGCCCCCTGCTCAGGAAAGCCTCCCACTGCCTGGTTCCCATCTGCAGAGGAGGAGGAGGAGGCGGGGAGGCCACGTTCTGCTGCTCCACAGGAATCCGACCTGTTCAAAGCTGTGGGTTGAGGCCCTGCAGAGGGGCAGGTTTGCAGGCCACCTCCAGAAATGTAATATGCCCAAGAATTGTACCTACAGGAGAGGCATCCGCTGCCGGGGCTACTGCAGAAACATGTCTGCTCTGCAAACGCCAGGATGGTCACTGCTGCTCAGCCACGATGGTCTCCGGGGTCATGGGGTGGTGTTCCTTCATGTGGGCTCAGAGGCAGGTTGTGCTCTCCTGTGCTGCTCTGCCTCAGCACGGAGAGCGCAGGGTCCCACACAGGGGGGTCAGGAGGAGGCCAGCCTGCCTGGGGTATCCTCACATCACGTGCGACCATCGCTGCTGCCCGCTGCAGCGGACGCAGCAGGCACAAACGGGCCTTGAAGCCTAAGCTTCTGCCTTGGTTTATCCTGGTGAATTGACTCGCTCATGGAAACAAATTTAGATTATGCAAATGTTTTAATACAGGCTAGGGTTTAAAGAATCCATAAGGATTCTCAGAAACAGCTAAGAATCCAGGGACAGCAACTGCAAGTCTGGCTAAATTGTCTTTTCACCACTGTCATTGCATGAACAAATCCTTTGGTGTACAAAACAAAAAAAAAAATCAATATTTTTCTTCCTTCCCCCCCCCAATTTTTATTTTAAAAGAAATCAGACTGATGTTTCCAAGCTGCTGTGTCTTCAGTCTGTAATTATTCCAAATAAAGAGCTGTCTCTGATTACCTGAATCAGCAGCAAGACAACAGCCTATTGAGCACCACAGCTCTTTTTAGCAAAGGTATTACAAGGAATTTTAAAAATGAGTGAATTTTGACACCCTTCTACCTTATCATTCACCTATACCAGAAATATGATGCACAAAAGCAACTTGCTAACTAGAGCAGCAACAGCTACTCTTGAGCAGGGTAAGCAAAAAATTAGCTTCACACTTCACAAGCAGTAAGGTGGGGTTTTTTTGTTCCTGCATCTCTCATCGCTGTGTCTGTTCTAAAACATCCATTAGAAATGTCATTGAAACAAACAGACAAATCAGGCAGAAACCCTGTAGCTGAAGTTTGCCTGAGGCACTCAGCAGAGTCAACATATTCCTACTCATAGAAGAACTATAAAAGGAAAAAAAGCAGAATAGAACTTAAAAGAATGTATTTTTTTAAAGAAAGGGAATGATTCTTACATACTGACAATAAGTTCATGTTGTTTGAGAAACTAAAATGGATACGCTAACATGCCACATGATTTTTTTTCCTGCTTTCCTGAAAGAAGCAGAACCTGTGCTGTTGTACTGGATATTCATCCATCAGTCTCTAAAAATTTTTCAGCCTACTGACCAACTTCAATCATGTCTTGGGCAGCAGGAGAAACCTCAGAGAGAATTTATGCTCCTACAGTTTTGGGAAGGCAGCAGGTGGAACAAGGGGCTCCACACTGATGAGGAATGGCTGGCAGACCTCACCAGATGTATGGTTGGAGGGCCAATTAACACTGTGCCTAATCGGCATCAGCTCAAGCCTAGTGTGTGCCATCTTTTTTAGGGTGTCATGGATGACCAGGGTAGATGAGACTTAGCAGAAAAAGACACTCGTCTACAGCCATTGTTGTATTAGTTCTTTCCCAGGGAGTGACTTATTACTTCCAGACGTATGAATGGCTTTTTTACCATAAATATTCACTGTAAACTTAAATATAGAGCAAATTTGTTAGGAAGATTAATTCTGTGCTTCAAAACTGTGAGATTTTTTACTTCCTTCAAGTGCTTTGCAAGTGCTTTAAGTGGGATAAATCCCAGTGTTTGGGTATTTGCTGTGTGCAGATTATCATTCCCTGGCACAGTGTCTCCAGGATTTGATGGGCCTTGCCCAGACTTTTCTGGAGGTCCTAACATGGACTTTGATAAAAATAAGTAGGCTTAGAGTTCTTTCCAGCTAGTCCACCTACCTCTTCAGATGTGCCATGAGATACCGTAATGTTTCACAGTGTGCAGGCGGCAGCAGTTTCAGCGCCTCATGGAGAATTTCCAGCTGTTCATCCGGATCGGCGGTTTCTGAAACACAGATGTTCAACTGTCACCACACATACAGCCAGAATTCACACACAGAAAGACAACAGTGGCCTGCAGAGAAGATGTGGTCTCAGAGCTCTGCTGGATTGCTGATTTCCAGAACCTATCCAAACCTCAGAGTGGAGGATTTGTCTGCCCAAAGAGGTGCTCAGAGCACCATCAGGATGTGACTGTTTTGGACAAAAAGCCCTCCTCAAAGCAAACTGCACTCTAGCAAAAGGTTCCCTGCAGCCCACTAAAAAAAATTCCCCTGGCAATCCTTGCTGACTGGACTAGTTTTGCACAAATAATCTACAGGTGCAACCCTGGGAGAGCAGAACATACTGGGAACTTTGCCATCAGCATCTTTGGCTGTGTCCATACTACTTGGAAAGAGCCTCTCCAGAGGAGCTGTAAGGCCAGCATCTGGCCCTTGTTTTCTACCCACGGATACCTCACACCTTTCCAGGTGTGGTTGGTGTGACTGCTACATTGCAGAGATGTTTCTTCAGGCAGCCAGGATGCTTGGGAGAGATGTTCCAGCTGGGCTTACTGCCGCATTTGCAGACTCACCGTCTGCAAGGCCAGCCTCGAAGGGGGCCTTAGGATGAGTGCTTATCCGCTTATGAAAACATTCAAAATGGACACCGCCAGAAACAAATGACTTCTTATCTTACTTCTAAACATTATCATAAATCACCTTATTTCTGGCAACATAAAGCCAACAGACTTTAAATGTCACTGTCAAGTACCAGGGATTCATGCAAGACATACAAGTGATGTAATTCATAATGTGTATGAAAAGAAAGCATTCCTGGTGACAAGGGCAAAGACAAATGTAGCCATGATCACACAGCACCACACACAGTCATGTCATAATGTGCTGTGCATATTTGCTTCTGCAAGCCTTACTAAATAGGGCATGCAGAGTAAGAGCTGATGGGACAGCTATTAAATGAATAGTCAAGTACTGCACAAAAAGGAGAGGAAAAGGTTGAGAACGAAGACCAGGAGGAAAATGAGTTATACTCACTTGCAGACTCTATAAACTTTGGGTAGGCATCATATGTGATGAGTGGAATTGGCAAATCCCTGAAGTACAGTTTAAGTGCACCAGTGATAATATTGATATCTTCATACATATTCACAGAAATATCAGCTTTTTCCCCATCTGTGTGGAGAAGGCACTGACATTAAAGTCTTGGAAACATAAACAGATGTAAAATAGAATTCAAAAGGAAAATAATAACTTGCTTAAGCAAACATTATTAAAAAGGACAGAACTACCGATTTTGGCTTTTATAAGCAAAACAGTTACTGGGCTATGAAGTTCATCGTTTCAGGGTGAAAACCTCAAGCATTTTATAAAGAAATCTATCCTTTCTTCATTTCAAATGATTACAAAAAATATTTTTTTTTTTTAAAAAAAAACCCTGTCTGCCCGATCTAGCAGTATCTATCTTGTATTAATCTGTGGAAGTTTATCTATTTCTGAACACACTGTGTTGCCAAACAAGACACTTGTCAGCACTGAATAAGAAATCACAGGAGTATGGGAAAAAAAGTAAAAGAAAGAAACCCAACTTAGTCCACAGCCTCCTCATTTTATAGGAAAAACATGTGTTCACCATTTAGCCACAGCATACTACCTACTCCTGACCGCAGTGGACACAGATACAGAACTTGGCTTCTCCAGCACATCCCCGCCCTGCTAATGCTGCAGAGGAGGCAGATGTTGTCTGAGTAGGTCGAGCCCTCCAGAGAAATAGGAGAGAGTTTCCAACATGGATTTTGGCCTTGATTTCTACTGGGACAGGGGGACTGCAGCTGGAAAGCCTTTAATTTTCCCACTGCGTTTTCTCAGAGAGAAGAGTTTGTTCTCACTGACCTTCTTTCAGACTGTATTAATTCAAACTTTGTTTGCACTGTTGTATTCATCTTATTATTTTGGAGCTTTCATCCAGAAAGATGGATTTAAGTTGCACAGCCCTCTTAACGCACTTTACCACTTGCCCTCTATCCCTCCTCCATCCCACTGAGCATAGTTTTACTTGCAAACTAGGGCAGTAGTTCAGAAAGCTTTGTCCTTTACTATGCACATCATTACTGAAGCACAGACACTGATGGAAGGAGAAAAGTAGATTTTGGTAATAAAGGCCAAAGTGAAGTTGATACGCTTTTCTGATGGGGAGACTTCCCTTCTGCGAGCACAGCTGCCGGACTCTTTCAGACCACTGATGCAGTGGAGCATGAGACAGACAGAGGCTGTGCAGAAAAACTGTGTATATTTAATACATCAGCACACAGTTCCAGCATGTAGGAAAAGACTGTACCTCTGTCAAATGCCATTTTGACATCTTCAATAAGATCACTAAATCCTGAGACTCTGTACAGTCCTTCAGAATTAAGACCTGCAATGAACATTTTAACAAGATTAAAATTAGTCTTAATCTTACAGTTCTTCCTTTGCCAGGTTCTTCATTCAAGGCAGAACAAGCAAACATGTTTCAAAAGCCTTATCAGTCTTTTCTTTCAGAATGAAATCTTATTCTGGCCTTTTAACCCTGACCCTTGCATTATTTGTCTTTTATATCAGCACTAAATTATGTTTACGCAAATGATTTTAGAGCTGAAGAAACATATTAACCAATTAAAACAGATTTAAAAATAACTGAGCTTAGCATACTTGATGCTCAGTCATTATTTCAGAACGAAAACAAATTAATTCTAGAAAAGGATACTCAGGGTGGGCTAGGGCAACTACCAAGAGAGAACACATCAATACTAACTGCCTTTGTTTTAGCACATTCTCTTAATTTTTCTAATAAAAATACTACTGGAAAGATAGGTGCCAAATAGAACTATAAAGCAGTAATTGTCCATTAAGCAATTTCTAGCAGAATCTATAAAAATTATAAATGGGTATGAACCATGAAATAATGCAAAGTATAATATTAGCTGTGGAAGGTAATTGGCAGTCATAAAATGTCTTGCGCAAATCTGTTTTGAGCAATCATACATTCAGCAGAAACCCAGATGACCCAGATCAATCTAAACGGATTATCAGTAAAGCAATGAAAGTCCATTAACTATGCCTTACCTCTAGATTCAATTTCCCTAATGCACATATCTACTACCATTGGTCTCTTAGTGAAGTGTGCTTTTACTAGCGTAGTAAGGTCACAGCTGTACACTTTTTTGACATGCTTCAGGTCTGGCTTGCAGTCATTTGGGACCATCTTGGAACACTGCTTGTGCACATTTAAACCACAATCTGGGAGAAAAAATGAAAAGATGATTAAGCTGGTGTTTGGTGAAAATGTAGCCTGGGGTCAGTATTGTGGAGTGTGTATGGCTCCTGCAGGATCTGACCTGATCTCGCAACTACTACTTCTGTTGAGATCTCTTCACCATCAAAAGCATGAGGCAGGGACAGACCTGAAGTAAGACTGATATTCTACCCAAGACACTTCTTCTATCCCTAGAAGATATGACACAAAGTGACAGACTTTGTTTTGTCAAAATATGTTTTTTTGAATCAGGATCTAAGGGTCAGTTATGTTCCCCACCACTATTACATATGTTGCTGTCATGATCTAAATTATCTTCCCAAGCTGCTGTGGATTTCCTAACACTTACAGCTTTAATGCAGTCCTGGATTGTGGCACTTAACACACCTCCTGGGGAAGAGTAAAGTAGGGATTTGGTCTCAGAATGCTACAACCCCTCTGCAGCACATGTCTGCAAGGCAGCCCTGAGATCTGAACCACTTCAGGGACCCCTACGCTCTTGCCACGTGTTGCTAGTGACAGGGCCCATTCCCCAGCTTGGAGGGGAGATGAAAAACAGATTAGGGGTCACCAAGCTGGTTGGTGGTTTCTTGCTACTGAGCAGTTTACAAAGGACTTTGCTAAGGCACAGCAGCTGGCAATCCTTGCTGCCATTTCACAGGGTGTTTCTGAAACAAAGCGTTGGCAGGCACCAAAACAATTCCATTTACTTTGAAAATGATTTAGGAAAAATTTGTTGTGATTTTTTTGAAACATAAACAAACAGCTCCACAGCTTATTGTAAACATACTGAGAATGAGATTTAGTTTAAGTGAAACTTAACTGAAATCAGTTTACAGAAAAATGTTTGTTCTGCCTAAAGACCATTCAAAACATAATGTTCAGGGTCTGGGAAAGAAAAATCTTGGAAAACACCACCAATTATACAGTGAAGATGGGAAGAGCAATACAGTCCCCCTTAAGCTGGGCACATACCGCCACTGCCACTCTCAGGCAGCAGGCCTGTGTAAGGAGCAGCCCCCAGTAAGCGCTGCCCCCAGGGACTCCATTTTCACTGCCATTTCTCCTGTTTTGCAATGCAGACTCACAGGTGCTTGCGAGGAAAGAGCAACCAGCAGGAAAGGCAACACTTCGCAGTCAGGGCGTTTGCGATGCTCTGACCTGCACTCGATATACACCAAAATGCAGACTCCAGTTCTGCATTTCTGGACCTTGCTGCATTGCCATTCGGAGTCCCTTGGATTTCTGCAGAATTAAGGGATGTAGAAGCTTGAAGGATCAATGCCTTGATGAAAATCTGTACTTCCCACTGCAGTACTGAGTATCTGTCTATAGAGATTCCTTTCATATTTCATTCCTGATTTTGCTAATACTTGTATTTTCATTAATGCTCCATAGATTATTTGACTTTGTTCTTTCCAAAACAGTAAACCCCAGAATTCATCACTAAGTTTGATTTTGACCAAGTTGGCTGCAGCCTGCTGCTAAAAGCACTTTGTTTACTTAACAGGCCTGTGAAGCAATCGGCTTTGTCACTTAGGATCCTCTGTAAAACATCCAATCTCTGGTTGCAATTAAAGTTCGGCATGTCACCTTCAATCAATCAAAACTTGCACAGATCCCGATCCAGATGAAATGGCTGATTAAAATTCTCTTTAGCTATTTCTTTGCAGGAGTCACTCCCTTACAAGGAGCAGTTAACGCACAAGACAGGGAGCCGTGAATGCTGAATTTCCCACCTGGCTGTGATTTTGTGTTGCAAACCCCACCTTGGGCAAAGCCATGCAACACAATACTCTGCTCCCTGCAAATAAGCAGTACCCCCGGGGGTACCATGGGGGCCCACGCTGGTCAGCCTCAGCGGCTTGCTCTGACCCACAGCTCTCGCCTGGACTAGGTCACAGCTGGTTGTCCTGGAGCCCCAGGTGGTGGCAGGCTCAACCGCTGTCCCTCCAGGTGTGGAGAAGTTCATTTTGGTCACTCAGGTTCTTCAGTGTTCGCTCAGTTGCCTCGTTCGTGACAGAGAGAAAACAGTACCAGCCAAAGCACTTGGTTTCACCTGAGCACTTATTTAAATCCCACATTTATAAGACCCCAAACTGGAAGGTGCATGACCACACCACCCGTTCATGCACAGCATACACATTATTTGTGGTTCCAGGGGGTGAAATGAAGAAACTGAGTGCCCCAGCCAGTGCAGGCAAGGGGAGCTCCACCTATGCTTTAAATATCTGTGTCCAATGCTACATTTTGTCTGAATTTTGAAAAACCAGGTCCCTCCGTGCTTTAAATAGGGAACCCAAATTCACTGGAAACATGTGACCTGAACCCTTTAGTGTCTCAGTGCTCCAGCTGTAACACAGGAAGAAGGAGAAGCTGTTCTTGCCTCCTCTGGGTCTTGTACAATCAAATTCATTAAGTGTTTTTGGCAATGCAGAGGAAAAACTACACATCTTTGGAGTAAGGTTTGAATACTGTACCATTAGTAAGACTAGCACTTTTGACAACAAGATGACAAAATACTGAATGGGTGCTATTAAGCAAGTACCATCCATTCTGCTTTCAGAATAAAGATGAAATTCTGGAGTAAAAATAAGTAGTCAAATAATTAGAGGCAACGTCTTAATGCACACAGAGAAATGAAACAAGACCATGGGAAATCTTAATTCTTGGTTTCCTTTATTTTGAAACCTTAACTTTGCAATAATAGTATTTACAAATGCAAATATAATTATTATACACAGAACTCCTAAAATTGCTGCAAGAAGTACCTTTTCCAACATGCATGAAATGATCTAGTATGATGTCTACAAGACTGGAATGGCAACATCTCACTCATGAGGACTCAGAAGTGATTTTGTGAGTGTAAATTATCTGCTTCACACAGCGCTATAGCTCAGAGTTATGTTTCTGGGAATCCAAGGATAATTAAGACAAAAATAGATTTAAAAAAAAGGAAAAACATGCTTCCAAGTATCTTACACTTAAAACAATTATTGCATTCACTAAGATAATCCTAATTGTATTTATATACAAGAAAGTTTCATTTCATTGAAATACTTAACTTACGGAGATCTTTTCAATGTGAAAACCTTGCTTCTGAAAATAATTGTGTTACTCCTAATCCCATAGACTCAAACTGGCTTTAGATCTGACCTCATTAATACCAGAATAATAATTACAAATGCAAAACTAAACTTTTCTCCTCTCTCGTTATTTCTTCCTTTGCATTTGATTAGATTGTATGTACCAGACCACTGCTTAAGGGCTTACAAACACTTCTGAGAAACATTTGAAACCTAGAAATATTTCAGATACTTAATGCTTAAAAAATGCATGAGCACTATGTTCAATATTACTGGGCTGTGTGGTATCCTTCTAATAATCAAGGTTCTTTGCCTCCTACCTAAGTGTAGGAGACCACCTTACTTTAGCAATTCTGCATCAATAAATACATCTAGGAGATTCCAGTGAATTAGCAATAGAAAAAAATGTATTTTTTCCAATAAAGAAGCTGAATCTTACCAATGCCATTCTTCCTTCCAGGCTGGCCCCTCTCCCCAGCTAACAATACTTCCTTCATGAAAGGCCCAACAGCCATGTCTCAGTCACTAGTCTCTGGTTCAGTTGATAACTTAGGATGAAGGATGATGTCTTCCTAACTCCAACAAGTTAAAAAGCACAATGGCAGGAGGTCAGTCCTCCTCTCCCCAGAGCACTGGGAATGTGCCAGTCTTATACTCTTAACTATACTCTGTTCACTTGGACAGAACTTACGAAGCAGATTGCATATTGTTAAATAAGAATGTCCTCTGTTCTCATTGCAGATGCTTCACAAAAACGTTGAAACCCATTATTTTAGAATCAATTATGAAGGAACAAGAAAGCCGAGCTCTGAATCTCTGCACGCTGCCACATGGTGAAGTTTTAGGACTGCTTGCCTTCTTTGCACATGAGCTTTATGATTTGGCTGGGTTTTTTAAGACCAAGAGGAATAATTTGATTTCAAATTTAGGGTCCATTTACTTTTGGTTATATTGAAATAAATCCAGAACAGCTAAGTTGGTATTAGCAGCTTTACTCCGGATCTAAAGTAACCAGGAGCCTCATCCATTTTTTACAGAAGTTCATTAGAACTTACCTGCTGCGTGGCTATAGAACTTGGTGAAGAGCTACAGAAGAATGCCCCTAAAGCACTGTATTTGCTACAATAATACAGGACACATTTAAAAAATGCAGTCATGAACCCTTGGAGGTCAATAAGAAAACTTCTGCTGACTTCAGTTAATCAGAATTTCACCTTATACAGAGATGATTTCTCAGGACTAGAATTGTAAGTCATGTTTACTATTCCTTTTTACAGTGCAGAACTGTGGCCACCTTTCACATATATCAAACATGACCAAAAAAATGCAGCCATAAATTCAAGAGTTTATAGGAAGTTTGGAAATTTAGGGGAAAAAAAAAAAAAAAAAAAGAGTAGTTTAGATGACAGGTTCACAAGGCTGTGATAATCTGCCCTTACTTTAATAGCATATTGATCTGGGAGTTCAGGTGGGCTGCGACATTACTTCTATGAGAGGTATTAAATTTAAAAGCAGCCTGACAATAATTTCCTATGATGCTGAGCAAAAGGTTTGGTAACATTTTAGAAACAGCTAATACTGATGTTAGTGCACTGGGCTGAAAGAACAAATAACGTGTTCATATTAATGCATGAGCAGAGCAAAAAGATGTATGTACATTAATACTGCCCCATGAACACACATTATAAATATTTGCAGAGACTAACATATACTTAGCTGTCACTTCTTGTTATACTGCTGATTTGACTTTAGACAGTTTTAGATTTCCTTTGGTTTATGATTTACTGACTAACATGGCCGCTGATCACGCTCCATTGGAACGATACCGTATGCTACATACATCACTCTAATTATATTTCTGAATTATCCCAAAGAAAATGTATGCATTTTGTCACTCT